TGTCAGGGAGACGCTGTGTGTTTCAGTGCAAAAGCAAAAGCACTTTATTTGGCCTTCCGAAACTTGGCGAAAGTAGATGCATTTAGGAATCTTTAAGATTACTTACAACAGAACAGCAATGCATTTTATGGACGACCATTTCATGAACCTAGGAGAGGAGGTAATTCTGACTTTGCTATGACAATCTGGCGCTTCTGAATCAGCTACTGTTTTGTTATTAGTTTAAGTGTTTGCTATTGACTGTTCAAATGCGGAGTTTTGCACATCGTGTGTGTGTGTGTGTTACTGTGTTTGTTCCCCTTTCGGGCTTGAACTGATGGTAAACTAATGACATTATTTACTGTCTTTTACATTTATTTTGAAAGATGAAGCTTGCGATTATGGTAAGGGGCGTTACATTTCCGACGAATGCTTGCGGTGTTCGGCCAATCACAATGCACTGGGTCAGCTGGCCAATCAGACCAGACTGCGCTTGTCGGAAGGAGGGACTTTGTAGAAAACGAAGCGTTTGAGAGAGGCGGGGCATAGAGGACCTACAATAATGTACAGTATTTGAAAAATAATGGGTTGTTTGAGCATTAAAGCATGTCAACATATTCTGTTACACCAAATACACCAAATAATGATCTTTAAAAAAGCATCATATGACCCCTTTAAAAAGCAGAGAGAAACCCTGGAGTACACTGGGATTGATAACATTAGAAAATTCAATCCAAAATAGCTGTGTGTGAGGACAATCCCAAAATATGTATTCAACATATACTGTATATGTTTCCGACACACGCTGTACGCGGTAGACCAATCACAACAGACTGGGCCATCTGACCAATCAGAGCAGAGTAGCCCCACGGAAAGGAGGGGCTTAGAAAAACTGAATCTTAAATTCTTCTAACGAATCGTTCGAGAATCGCTTGAAAACGATGTGATATTAAATGCACATTTTGAGGAAAAAGAAAGCGTTTTTTGACCTTGCATGCATTTTGGCACCCCTAAAATGCACTTTGTACAATCAAAAATATTTCAAAAATATAACTTCTCCTTTCTGTGGTTAAAGCTATGGAGATGGGAGATATGACAATGAGCATGAGGTTTCAGAAGAGCGAGGCAGAGGAAGAGAAAGAGAGAGAGGACGAGACCATAGAGAGAAAGAGCGCAGACGTCTAGACAAAGAGATGGGAGGCTCCTCAAAAACCAACAGCACTGCGTCGGGCCATTCACAGGTGCCCGGGGTTACAGTTTCACACACTTCTTCCCTTTCTCATTGATGCCATCTCACGTGTCATCTATTCGGAGCCAAAAAAAATACATAAATAAATGAAAATGGCGCATATTTGGAGAGGTGATAAAACTGGCGAAATAAAAAATCAATCCCATAGACTTACACTGACTGAAAGAAGCATCTGAGACTTATTTTTGAGACTAGATTATTATTATTTTGACGTGTAACCACCTAGCAACCACTCAGAACCTAGTAGCTGCATATAGTAAACTATCAGTTTACCTATAAGCTCACTTTTAGTATAGTTGCGGTACAAACTAAACATTACGATGTAAACTAGTATACTTAAAGTATACTTTCATATACTAGAAAGTGGGCCAATTTAGTCCCAAGGAGTATTGAAATAGTACACTTACAAGTATACTACTAGTACACTGATATTTGTATACTTACTACATAAAGTATACTTAAAAATATACTTGAACTTTACTTAAGTATACTTACTAAAATAAACTTGAAGTATACTACTTTTTGTTAAGGGAACCCACTAAAAATCACCCAGAACACCTTCAGACACCGTTTAAAAAGATTGCTTAGTATCTCTCTGAATATGTTCTCAGAGGTTCAGCAAAACTGGAGAGAGCATTATTAGGAGGGTAAACGGAGCACACAGAGGTCCAGAAGAGCCCCCTCAGATGCAGGTAAAGCTACCTAACGTTACACTCACGACTGCTTTCGGTTTTAGAGGCAGGTGTCTGTGTCCGCAGAACAGATGAAAAGGCACTTTTGAGCTCCCAGACAGACAGAAAGTACACTATATTTAGCGCTAGGTATAGGTGTTATAGTGAAGCGTAAAGTATGCTGAGAGAAGCTGTACAGTTCAGGACTGTCAGTGTTGATGTGTCAAACCGGTAGAGACAGAACCAACTGTTAGAGATGCTTGCCTAGTCACGCAGGGATATTTTAACGTTTTTGTACTTTGTATTTATTTTAAAAGCAATATTTAAGTGCGGACACTGCTTAAATGAGCGCGAATGTGTGTTTGTTTAATTCACGATACAATTAACACACAGTTCTGTGACACTATGTAGGCCTACCCTTACCAAAAAGTAGTATACTTCAAGTTTATTTTAGTAAGTATAGTTAAGTAAAGTTCAAGTATATTTTTAAGTATACTTTATGTAGTAAGTATACAAATATCATTGTACTAGTAGTATACTTGTAAGTGTACTATTTCAATACTCCTTGGGACTAAATTGGTCCACTTTCTAGTATATAAAAGTATACTTTTAAGTATGCTTTAAGTATAACAGTAGTAAACTTTGAGTACACAACTAGTTTACATCAAAATGTTTAGTTTGTACCGCAACTATACTAAAAGTGAACTTATAGGTATACTGATAGTTTACTAATGAAATACTCGTAGTAGCATTTTTAGTACACTTTGAAGTATAGTCTCAGTAAACTACTAGTTTAGTAGTTTTATACTGCAAGTATACTCGTAAGTTAATTCTGTGTTTTTCTCCTTGATAGAGAGATGAGGCGGATGGTGAGATTTATTTACGTCACTGTCTGCGAGTGGAGGAATTTGATGCTGATGAAAACTATGGACTTCAATTGCATGTAAGAACTTAAGTTACACAAAAGTTAAGAGGACAACTCATCACAAAAAATTAAGAACAGTCCTGATGTGGTCATATTTCTCAAAACCTGTCTGATTGATCTGCAGATGCATGCTGGACTGGTGACCCTGTCAGCGATGACCTCCAGAATCAGGAGGAACTGGATCGACACACTGAGGAGGAGAATCTCATTCAGGAATTCGGCTGAAAGCATCCGGTATGACAAGTGCAGAGAGTCAATAAGGGGTGAATTTCATGAAAAATGTCAAGTAAATGACTGAAAAAAAAAATTAGGCAAAAATATATATTTTGAGATTAGACAATAAAACATTTGTAGGATTTTAAGCATATTTTATAATACACAATGGTAGTATTTGCTATAATGCCTTTAAATTAAACAAATTTAAAAAATCATTGTGTCTTGACAGCATAATTTTACATTAATGAGCATCTAAGTAAGGGATGCTTGTATCACCCTGAAGGGGGTTATTCAGCGATAACTACCGGCTGGATGTACATTATCCTACTTATTACACGGCTACTTGCCACATAAGTAAGGAAATATTGATTTGAGTTGAAATATTTGAACGTTCAAACTAGCAAGTTCAAACTAGACGGACGTTTAAGGGATATGGTGCAATCAAACCACTTATTACACAACATTTCACCACATAAATAATTATGGCTATAAAAGATTTAAGACAAAAATGTTTTAAAATCTTACCAGTTTGTTAGTTATCTTATAATCCATTACAGCGTATAAAACAATTGTAGCAAAATGGCAGCAGCTGTGTTTGTATGAAAGGAAAGAGCGAGTCCGCGATACCAGGATGATATAATTAAATAATTGTACACAATTTTGAATCGAGTTTTAATATTTTATTAGCTAAACAAATGCAAAACTTCTAACCAGAAAAAACTGTTCCTGGCAGTATAGCGCCAACTTCAGTTACCCGGATGAGTACCGGTTATTATCGAGGGATAACAAACCTCAGAATGTTGCGACTGACCAATCAGAATCAACTATTCCACAGAGCCGTGTAATAATGAGAATTATCATTGATACTGATGAGAATTACAACCTTTAAATTAACTTTAAATTACGGTGATGATAACTTGGGGTGGGAAATTGTGCTTAATTGTCATTAAAAACAATAAATAAATAAAGAGTTAGGCTTCATTTTCTTAATCTCAATACAAAACATAATAATACAACAAAGCTTTAATCTTTGTGCTAAATAATTTTTTTTACTTTTTATTTTAGGCTGAAACATGATATTCACCCATAGAGAATTTATATGGATATTCAAAATATATTAAATATCCATAATAAAGCATTGCTTTATTGATTATGGTCATCTGAAAGATTTTGCTCTGGACTTTTAAAATGAAATGACTGTCGCTGATGTTTATCAGGAGCAGGTTTGAGGTTTGACTCAGGGTCCTGTTTTCATGTAAGTAGGAAGTTGATATCTCTGCCTGTTCTCAGACACCCAGACAACAGTGACATCAGCGACAGAGAGAACTCCAGTTCCCAGAATGCACCGTCCCGAACCTCTCCCGCACCCCATGACCCAGGGTCAGATGTCGGTGGTCCGTATCAGGATGAACCCAACATGAGGTCCTCACCGTTAACCAACCGGCGGGAGGCCGGCGAGGGGCGCGACCAAGAGCTCGAAAGACGTCTGGAGGACCGGACCAAGTGGTTTCAGGAGGGAATTTCCGACAGGGAGGGGGAAGACCCCTGGGATAGGGTTGAGTTGAAGAAGGGGGTTGTGACTTCGGTGATTTTGACCCAGCCGCAGGTTCCTGATGCTCAGATGGGGCCAAACATCGAGAAGAAGTGGGCAGACTTTGAGCAGCTTCCAATCGGAGAAAAGAGGTCACCGGCTGGTTTCCAGAATCCGCAAACGACAAATGAGGTGCTTCAGCGAGAGGTATGTTTGTGGATTTAGACGAGCATGTCATCCTTGTTGGCCCAGGACCATATAATGTGCTTCATCTGTGTGTGTGTGTGTGATCTGGATGCATTGCATTGATCAGGTGGTGTCTCTAAAGCAGCAGATCGAGGCTCTTCGTCAGGTCCGTGTGGGGGCCAGTGTCTGCGGTCCTGACGCACCCTGCTCTCTGAAACTCGATCAGATGGAGAAGGAGCATCGAGAGAGACTGCAGAAGATACACGACGAGCACGAGAGAGAACGCAGAGAGATTGAGAAAGACAAACAGAGACTGCTGCAGGAGGAAGCCAAGAATGCAGTCCAAGGTCAGTGTGGGCCGCAGAACATCAGTGACACAAGGGTCAAATAAAAGTGATACAACATAAAGATGTTATATAATCATTTATTTTTTAAAGAAAGAAATGCATTCATTTGATCAAAAGTGACAGTAAAGTCATTTATAATGTTACAAAATATTTCTATTTCAAATAAATGCTGTTCTTTTGAACTTTCTATTCATCAAGAATCTTGAAAAAAAATTGCATTATGTTTTCCACAAAAATTTGAAGTAGCACAACTATTTTCAACTTTGATAATAACCAGAAATGTGTCTTGAGCAGCAAATCAGCATATTCTAATGATTTCTGAAGGATCATGTGACACTGAAGACTGGAGCAATGATGCTGAAAATTCAGCTTTGATCACAGAAATATATTACATAATGATATTTCACAATATGCATGTTTTTATATCAAATAAATGCAGCCTTAGTGAACACAGGAGACTTCTTTAGAAAACATTTTTAAAAATCCTAGAGCCCAAACTTGTATATAAAGGTAAATATAGTGATTAAACTGAGTTTGGGATTTTGATTAGAGTTAATGTTAACTAAAACTGAAATCTTAAAAAAAACACACATTTTCATAAAAAAAAAACGTATTGTTGCCAAGGCAACTTGAAGTATACCAATATAAACTAAAACTAATAAATAAAAATGAATCTGAACTATATAAACTAATAAAAAAAATTATGCAAATGATAAAAACACATAACAATACAAAATCTTTAACTAAAATTCAAGTGAAAACAAAAAATGTCGAAATCATGTTTGATTCAAAATATTAACAAAAACCATAATAGTATATCAATGATATTAAACCAACACTGATTTTGATATCCGATTAGATGAGAATTCAGTGACTTTTATCCATAAAGCTTCACATCATACTTTTCGTCTTCAATCCCGCAGCGATGGAGGCTCTGAGGAAAGCTCATCAGGAGGAGATTGAGAAGCTGAGGGGTCACGGAGGAGGAGAGACGAAAGACCCCTCCATCAGACGACAGCTGTACGTCCACATTTATACAATTTATACAAAATACACTTTTCGCCTATTTAGCAAGATAACCAAGAGCAATATAGGATATCCAATATCTATGGATAATCAAGTAAACCTAATAACAATATAGGTTATTCTTTCGTTTACTTTAAAAATTAGTAAGATTTTGCAGCAAAAAGACACATGAACCATGACCTGAAGGTGGACGTTTGTACAATTACACTAAAAGGCCCTTTGACTTACTAAAAAAGTATAAACTATCTAACAAACAACAGAAGGCATGTAGTAGATTGTGGGTTTTCAGCCCAATTTTGGTCATGCTGATAAATTAGTGGCCTTTATGTATCAAATATGGTACAGTAGGCTTTATAGGGTTAAGCTGTATATAGCTACACTGGAGTTTGGTTCTGCTGATAATAATTTTAATTTATAGCAGATATTGAAATACTGCATGTTTGCTGTGTGTTAGACATCTTTGAAGATTTTGGTATGAATTTTAGTTCTCTGAGAAGATATTGCATGCCAGAAAGCACCAACATCTTGTTCATACTCTCATGGGAATCCAGTGGCACTAATCAGTACTTTACATAAACTCTCATCTGTCCCGCTCAGCTGTGCTGTAATTCCTCTCTCACGGCTCAGAGAATCAGAACACAAGAGCTTCATTTACTCCAAAAAGTGGCAGGTGTTTGATTGACAGTCTGTAATTGACAAGAGTCCCACTGAGAGAATCAATTGATCGCTCATTAGTCAATCATTACATCAGTTAATCGATGCATGGCTTTGTGTTTCTATCAGGCACGAGTCGCTCTCTCTGCAGCAGGAGTTGGACGGTCTGTCGGAGCGTTATTCCCAGCAGTGCGTGGAGCTCAACCGCATCCAGAACAGCACTGAAGAGCAAAACGGAGAGATCCGACAGAAGGAGAGAGAGATGGAGCAGCTCAGCCAAGAGAACCAGGTAGACAGGAAAGTGGGATGAGAGGATTGGATGACACATGATCACCATCTGATGCTGAAATTTAAATATCTAGAGTCCAAAAATGACAGATTTGCCAGTTAAATAGTGTGTGATACACAGTTTTGTGTGGATCCACCCTGGTTCTGAGACTAACTGGACCAAAAAACATGGAAGTCCATGGAAGAAATGTTCACAGATATGAGGAAATCATAATTATAATGTGATTTTGGTCTGGATAAAATGAACTCGGTTGCTCTTTTTACTTCCTGACAAACACTGGAAGCTTTTTTACTTCTAGTATGACATAAAGTGACATGCATTAGATGTGAAACTGATGTTTTATCAGTAATGTGCTGCCACAAAGAATTATAGGAAATGTCTGTTCAAAAGTTTGGGGTCTGTAAGATGTGTAATGTTTTTGAAAAAAGGCCTCTTTTGCACACCAAGGCTGCATTTATTCAATCAAAAACAGAAAAAAAATAGTACAATTATGAAATAATAATTATAGAATGTAATATATTGCTGTGATCAAAGCTGAAGTTTCAGCATCATTACTCCAGTCTTCAGTGTCACATGATCTTCAGAAATCATTCTGGTTTGCTGCTTAAGAAACGTTTCTGATTATTATCAGTGTTGAAAACAGTTGTGCTGCTTGATGTTATTGTGTAAATATACATATTTTCAGGATCCTTTGATTAATGAAAGTTCAAAAGAACAGCATTTATTTGAAATAGAAATCTTTGGAACATTATAAGTGTCTTTACAGTCACTTTTGATCAATTCAGTGCATCCTTGCTCAATTGTTACGTTCCTAACGTGAAAAAAGCTTACAGAAAATTTCCCACTAGTAATTATGGTGACGTTCATGTGCAAACGCGATCATTCAGACATCACATTTCATCGTGCGACTCAATTCATCATGTCTGATATTGAAATCTATCTCACAGCACCTTTAAAATTACATCACTCGTATCAATTAGTCAGAGGGGAAACAGATCTGTAATATGATGAACAGACAGCATCCTGTTTCATTGTTCAGAGTGACTGTCTGGGTCGGTGTGAGATTTGTTCACTGATCCAGGACTGGATTACTAATACTAATCAGGGTTATTGCCATTATTCAAATGCTACAAAATGGGATTCAGATCAGCACAAAACCCAAATGATCGTCTCATTTTCAGTGTGTGAATGAGCTTGTCTTCATGTGTGGTTTTTCGTTTGGATGTGTCAAAATTACATTTCCTCTTCCTGTTCACACAGGAACTGCAGGCGCGTCTGACGGAGGAGATAAGTCTCATGCGATCCTTCATCACAGGCCAAAGATCAGGAGTTGTTCCCCTCGGCAGCTACGAAAGGAGCACCTCTGAATTAGAGGTGAGGCGCTGACCTTTGACCTGTAGAAAAATACCTGCCACCATTTCATGATCAGATTTACCTTGTTTTATTTACCTTGATTTATCGAAATGTATATGGACATACAAAATGCATCTCACAAACATATTAGAATATTATAATCAATGTAAATTAAAGCTCAGTTAATCAGCATGTACTCTAAATCCCCAAAAATATATCCTGTGGTTCAAAAGTTTGGGATCATATCAGAATGATTTCTGAAGGATCATGTGACGCTGAAGACTGGAGTAATGATGCTGAAAATCTAGCTTTGATCACAGCAATAAATTACAGTTTAGAATATATATATCACATAGAAACCAGTAAATTGTAATAATATTTCACAATATTACTGTTTTACTGTATTTTTGATCAAATAAATGCAGCCTTGTTGAGCAGAAGAGACTTCTTTCAAAAACATTAACAAAATCTCACCAAACCCAAACTTTTGAATGTTAGCGTAATGAAATAACAATCAATCTCCACCAAAGAGATGCAACGATTGGGGAAACAAACAAAGATTGATCTCACCAAATCATTTGTTCCCTTGTCCTATGATCCTCCATTTTCTATCCAAAAATAATCACAAAAAATGATAAATCCCAGATCGTAGGTGAAATTACATTACCACATTGTCCATTAAGGGGGACATAGATGGCTGTCATCTTTGACCCCGTTGCCTCTTTTCAGATAACCCTAAATAAAAGTCCTCTGCACTTCCTGGTCTGTCTTCAAACCAGAAGAAAACAGTGATATTTTGTCTTCAAACTTCACGTTGTACAGTACAAGAGGGGATTGTACACAGAATTTAGGGTTATTGGTCACTGTGTGTGAAATAAGCTCGTATGGTTGAGGAGTGAGAATGAAGATGCCTTTGGGGTCCAGATGGTGTAACCAGCAGGGGCTAATTGGACCATGCTAAGCAGCTAAAACTTGACCCCTTATGCATGTGATGTGAGGGATCGGTGTTTCTCGGACAAACTCTGCCATCTACTGATCATCATAGTGAACTCACTGTAAACCTTCTCCAGCAAATAGCAGTAAATACACTGATGGTTTTGCAGCCATAGATTCAGTTTTAAATGAACTGTAATCTGTTGTCTTTGTCCATTTGCGTGGGTGGTTTATACATTATTTTTGATGACACTTATATGTTGACAAATAAAATTTGCATTGTTTTTCTCTATGCATGAGGGAACAAGTATATTTTAGGTGCTGTGACTGCTCACCATTTCATTTTCACCATCCCAGTGATACGACTTTGATATAATTTTTACAAGAACAAATATTTTATTTATTTATTTTTTTTATTAATATGTGTCTAAAATAATTGTATCAGAATTGTAAAGTTGTAGATGGAGTATTGTTATGCTGACATGTCCATGTCCGTCTGTAGATGTTACTGAAGGTGAAGGAGAGCGAGGTGGATTTTCTACACAAGGAGATCAGCTGTCTCAGAAAAGAGGTCCAAACTCTTACTAAGGTACACATTTTGCTTGTGAAAGTCATATAATCTAAATTAATACTATTCACTTTCTTCACACATGCTCCTACTGTAGAGAAACAATAAAAGTGTATGTAATAGATCAAACTTCAAATGTTTGGGGTCAGTAAGATTTCTACATTTTGAAGAAATTAATACTTTTATTCAGCATGGATGCATTAGATTGATCACAATAAAGACATTTATGATGTTACAAAAGATTTATATTTCAAATGAGTGTTGTTCTTTTGAACTTTATATTCATCAAAGAATCCTGAAAAAAATTCATCGCGGTTTCCACAAAAACATTTAAGGATCATGTGAGACTGAAGACTGGAGTAATGATGCTGAAAATTCAGCTGCACATCACAGGAATAAATTACATCTTAAAATATATTACAATAGAAAACAGTTATTTGAAATTGTAATAATATTTCACAATTTTACAGTTGTTTTTTTTTTGTTACTGTATTTTGACTTCTTTCAAAAAAATCTTGCCAACTCCAAACGTCTGAATGGTAGTGTACATTAACTGTGTTTATCACTATTCATCAGTATATATATATATATATACAGTGGGGCAAAAAAGTATTTAGTCAGCCACCAATTGTGCAAGTTCTCCCACTTAAAAAGATGAGAGAGGCCTGTAATTTTCATCATAGGTATACCTCAACTATGAGAAACAAAATGAGAAAAAAAAAATCCAGAAAATCACATTGTAGGATTTTTAAAGAATTAATTGGTAAATTCCTCGGGAAAATAAGTATTTGGTCACCTACAAACAAGCAAGATTTCTGGCTCTCACAGACCTGTAACTTCTTATTT